ACAGAATGTATATATATATATAAATATAGAGATGTATATAAATATACTCAACATGCAAACAGTACAAGCTCTACCAGCAGAACAATTGAGGTGCAGCATCGAGATGTCCTTGACAGCTGACGCGTGGGCGATCCAGCAACTGTCTTCGTCACAGCTTTTTGAATGCAAATCAACAACATGTTGAGTTCTTGTACCGGTTATATGTGTATATATAATATACATCATGTTTCGTTGGCCAAGAAAGGTGTAACACACGTTCCAAGTGTAAACTGCTGAGGCACAACAGATTGGTATGGATGGCCTGGATGCAGCGAGGTTACTGTAGCTTGCAGGAGATTGCTGAGTGGCTCTTCGATGGACTCTTTGGTTGATTGCAGTCTCTAACTTTTTGTTGCTCGTTATATATATATATATACTTGTAGTCTGGAAAAGGGATCAACATGTTTGTGTGTATAACTATTTCAACACGCTCAAACACAGTGCAAATAAGGAAGAATAGACACGGCTGAAGACATGATCCAGCGACACCACAACTGCATGCAAGATGTGCTGGAGCTGCTAGACGTACCAGATGTCGACGGTGAGGAGACAGAAGAGATGCAGCACATGCGCGTACAGGAGCTAGTTCCTTATCAGCATCAGAAAAGTGTTTCCCTCCCTTTCCATTCCTTCCCGGAGATTTCCCGGAGATGTGTTTGTTTTGCTTTGGATTTGTATCTCTCTCTTTTCTGTATATATATATATATATACCATTGCACTTCAGGAAGACGAGCAATTCCATGGGTGGAGCATACAAGATGGTGACAACATTCTCACCCGGCGTGCTCTTCCTCCATGGATGACCCAACCGCTTGAGATGAGAGTATGCCAGTTTGTCACAGATTATGGAAGGTGGCAAGATCGGATTGCCAAACGCACGGACCAGGGCAAGACATTAACCAAGAGACAAGAACTTGCATATGCGACATGGAAATCAAATTCTGTTCACAAGCTGATCTTTTGCAAGTCCAGGAAGACATTGATCACCGATGCCAAGGATGTCTCAGCAACCTGCATTGGCATCCGACTTCACTTGAGTGAAGAACCAGAAAAACTGCAGCTCTCCACTGGAGATGGATCATTCCACAGGTTGGTTTTGCTGCGCGGACCAAAGAATACAACTTCAAGCTCAAGTTTGCCTGCAGCATTGGATGCACCCGTAGCAGCTGATATGATTCCGGATGATGATCCAGAAGAAGCAGAAGCCGAGAGTGAGGAGGAGAAAGTTCTGGATGGTGAGGTGCCGTTGGAAGATGCGGTGGGCAATGATGACATGGACAATGGTGATGGAGATGAGTCCTGCATCCTTGCTGACTCCGATGATGATTTGGACTTGTTTGGCATTGAGTTGGACGGTCATTCTTGCCAGATGCCCAAGGTGAAGAACTTTCATAACCGTCAGGCTTGGAGAAAGCTGGACGAGCTGGGGCTGGCAAGCATACCAACCCACGTCAACGGGTGTTCAATATCGTTCCACTCAACCACTTCTCAATGGCAAGGGTACTATCCGAACGTGCACACAGGATTGTGCTGCACCTTTGGAGGAAAGTCAAAACGCAGTGACCTGGGTCTACTTAAGACGTGCTTCACACCTTTGTTTTTGCTTAAATATCGTATGTGTATATATATATATATCATTGTTTGAGGTGTAGTATATACACATCTGTTCTTGAATGATTCTTTGAGACCTTCCAAGGCGAAGAAGAGGCATGCATCCGAGTGATTAGGCAGATCCTGGTTTCACACTGTGAAAAATACCCCAAAGACCATATGTGGAAACTCCAGCTCCAAAATGTTCAGAAAGCTGAGGCTACGAAGAGCTTCTAATCCATTGGCATCCGGGTTGATGTTCTAAGTGTTGGTAGACACTAAGGTCACAAAAGGTCACATGTTATACTTAGCGCTTGATTTGGTGTGTTGGTTCCTTTCTGATGTTGATTCCGGATGCACTGACAAATCTGGTAGCAGGCAAACTGCAAGAACACAACGAATCCATTCCAATGTACAGTTGCTGCATTTGCTACAAAGTGAGTTTGGTGTGGCAGCCTGTGTGATCAGTATGATAATGATTCAGCCGCATTTGCAGTGAAACTATGTTTTTTCCTTTCATGCTGCTGCCTGAACATCAGATGCGTATAGCGTGGCTTAGCAGTTGTGTGTTCGTTGCAAAGCTCACACAGCTCTTTAATATACATACACATATATAAATAAATTGATATATAAAAAAATCTATATACAACCCTAAGAATGGTGGCCTCATAGCCCTTCCTCAAGTCTGTGTGAGCAACGACCACTTTTCACATTCCAACTTCACTTGGCATCTGGGTTGACGTTCTAAGTGGTATACACACCAGCTGTTTGATAGACACCAAAGGTCAACTGTTAGACTTAGTATTCCATATCAGATTTCATGTGTTTGTTCCTTGTTGCTGTTGATTACAGATGCATTGACAAATCTGTTTTCAGGCACACTGCAGGAACCCAATGACATCATATATGTCTTTCAAGGTCCTGCATGTGCTAAAGACAGAGTCTGGCCTGGCAGCCTGCGTCATGAGTATCAGTATGAACAAGTCGTATGCAGTATGTGACCTCCTGACACAACATAACAGAACGTTCTAAGAGAGCTTGCCCACAAGCTAGGACCAGGACCCCATAGA